GGTATAGAAGGTAGGCGCATGATATCGGTGGCATCTAAAGGGTACGTTAACATGTAAGAAAAAATAAACCTTTCAACTCTGACTAAAACACTCGGGTGACAGAAGTTTTTACCAACTGCAACAGGTAAAGGGAAGAGAAACCAATGGAGCCCCAGAAGTCAATTTGACACGTGGACATTTAGAAATGATGTAACATCAGATTATAGTTGGACTGCTGTTAAGCTGTATGAGCTTAATGATTATCAGTCATTTAGCTTACTTTAGCGTATAGGGTGCAAACAAATGTTGTGCACAGCTAGCTGAATTAGATTTACCAAACGCCATCACTTCAGTACTACGCTCGTCTGGTTCATAATGCGACCGCAGTTTGGCAGTTTGGCACAAAAACTTAATGGGTTTGTAATGGGTATTCGTTAAGATAAGATGATTTAGTCGATTTTTCAAACTTGAGTAGGAACGCCGATGATCTTCACTTCAAAATAATCTCCTGCTACTATTTTGGTGCTGTATCACATGAAAAAGTTGTTTAGAGAGTCACAAGTTACATTAAAAAAAAACCCTCATCCAACTCCCAACTGCTACACTTGAAATACACATTAGCGGACTGACCCTGTGACCCCCCACCCCCACCCACCCCAGCTGATCCTCACAGCTTATAAAGTCCAAAAAATTGGGGGAGACAAAGTCCAGGAGAAGCTGAACAGGCCACCAGTGGACCTGGATCCCGCTCATCCACATTCCTACGAGCTTCTGAAAGAGAACAGAGCGCTGCTACAAAGTAAACACTTGTAGTGCCTTTTTTTGGGAGAATACCATTTCCATAATCTCATGAAACTATCACATGCTGACCTTATGATTTCTTAACCTGGAGGGGGAGCAGAACAAGCTTTGAATGTGGCCTTATTTGTGAAGACTAATACAAAAACAATGGGAGGTTCTGTTTCACAAGTACATACACCCAACTGACAACTGATAAGAGAGCAGGCTCTCGTCGATGAAGAGACCCACTATAAGGTGACAAAGGGATTTATTATATTATCCTTATTTGATTTCTACAGAGGATCAACGTGCAGGCGGTCAGCAGCAGGAGACTTTGGTGTCATTACATCAAGTGCTGGAGCTTTCCTAATACTCAAGAGTAGATGGGTTCCAAGAAATATAATGAAGAAATAGTCTACTAACGTCATGTTTCACCCTGAACTCGTGGATATCTCCTGCTGTATACAAACATCTTGTAGGGTGATAAGCTGTGGAGCTGCCAATACATCAATCAGTCGACTGCGAGTGCTCCATGGGCCCCATCTCGCTTCTTCTCTACTCCTTTTGCTCGTGGCCCAGTCGAGATAAATGACATTGCAAAAAGAAAAATCCCCCCCTTTGCTGCCTCTGCAGACACTCCAGACAGGAAGGGAAACGCAGGGTCACACTGCAGCTGACGAATTGTTTAAATAAAAGCATAACAAACAGCAAATGTCATATTTATAGGCTCTATTCACGATTTCGTTACGTTTCTTTTGATGTCAGTGAATTTAAGTTGTGTGGAAAACCTCCAGAATTACTGAATAAAACAAACAATCCTAGGTTAGAATATTTGGAATGTTATCACGGGGTCATCTACATTGAAAAGTTTAAGTCTTAGTCAAGAATGGATTTGGAAATAAATACCACTCTCATGTCTGCACATTGCTGCTAGCTTAGCTTAGCATAGCATAAGGCTGTAGAGGGAAACAGAAGGCCTAGCTCAGTCCCAAACGCAAGTCTGCCTATCAGCGCCTCGAAAGCTCTACAAAGTAATACAAATGTACAAAAATGTCCATTTGTGTCCAGATACAGATTCAGTGAACTTCTCATCTAGCAAGAAAGACGAGCAGACAAGCAAACGTGTCCAAATATTCCTTTTACATAAATGTACCGTGTAGGTTTTTGTTCAAAGCGCCAAACAGCAGCAAAACGTTGGGAATCAAACGGCTAACTGTGGCAGCGTGCCATGCTCTGAGCTATAGAAGACCATTGTTCACATACACATGACATCCTCTATAGATAAGCAAAGTCCATCACTTAATGCAATCAGCGCAGACAAAGACAACAGCAGGGCCATTGGAGTCAACTGAACGTTGGCATTTCTGCGCGCAGAGAGAGTCTGCTCTTATTGGACTTTAAATCTTATACGGGATAGTGACAACGGAAAACAGCCGTCAGTTAGCTGAAGATAAACGCATTAACTTTGGACGACTACAGGGTAATATCTAAAGAGCAGAAGCAACAGACGAGGAGGGGAAGCTCAGAAAGTTTGATAGCCGAATGAAAGAAAGTAGAGCCAATATCAGTCTCCGTCCTCTCAGCCAGCAGAAAGAAAAAAAAGGCACAGTGGATTAATTCATCACCATGCTGAGCTTTTGCCCTGCTCTGGAATAAATTACCCAATGACTCTCGACTTAGACTAAACACACACATCGACCAGAGAGCACACACAGAAACAGCGGGAGAGAAAGCTGACAAATGAGGAGAGGCCGTCCAGGTCAGCGGTGCATCGTATCTTCACTACGCGTACGACGTATCGTACGAGATGTTCGTGTCAAACCCCCCCCAAAAAACTCGCCTCAAACTCGCCCCCCCCCACCCCCAAAAAAAAAGTTCTATGAGTTATTGCAACAGTTAAGTGTTTCCCCATCCAAGGCTTTGGTCTAGAGAAGCAGCCTTGTGTGCGTTGTCATTTTTGGGGGACGGGAGGGTTTAATGGGGGAAGTCTGAGGTGTTAATGCAGAGCGGCTGGACTCCGGCAGCGAGCGAGGTGGTATTACCCTCCAGGTACTTATAGGCTTAGCACCTTTTATTGCCCTTGTCCATTTATAGTGATAGGTAACAGTAAAACTGATTCTACGTTTGCTGTTGGGGGGGGAGGGGGGGGTTGCAACTGGATTTCCTTGAGTGGGGGCAATCAGACGGGAAAAGTCAAGGCCAGATAAATGGTTTTGTGTTTGGCTGAAGTTTTTCTCTGTCTGTTTGGCCGTACACACATGCTAAAAAAAAAAAACTATCACGGGACCTTGTACTTGAGTCTTATCATCGCAAGAGCAGCCCAGATGGAAACGTACCCTTGAAAAAAGCCTCACACCACACTCACAAACTTCTATTCAATCTTTCTCAGACTGTAGGCGACTGCACATGATCGCTCTCTCGCTCTCTGCCTTTCACGTAAAAAAATAAGGAAGGCATTGATTTGCTTTATTCAGTTTGGTAATACGTTCAATGTGTACACTTAACTGTGGTCAACTGCCTGCTGTTTGTGTAGATGAAAATTGTCATCCTTTGGGGGCGCATGTGTGCGCTCCCTTCAGAATCAAGGTGACGGAAGCCAGAGCACAAACACGCACAAACACCATCATAAAAAACATAATAATTATACACACGCCAACTGTTTGAGATGATGTGGATCGAATATACTTCCTACATGAGTATTTGTATTACTGATTACATGTCATTTACTCATTATTCGATCCAAAAATATGGAAACATTAGTATTTTCCTTAAGCCAAATGTGACAGTCGGGATCTGGTGCAGCGGTACAAATAATACAACATCTCTCAAAGTCTCTGTTCACCAGTATGTTCCCGATTATATGCAAGACATTTGCATTTTATATGACCGCGCTGCCCAAAAGGTTTGATTAAATCTAGGTGAGGCAGGAATAGACCCAATTCCACAGATATCAGAAGAGACGTTATTGATCTCTTTTGGCAAGAAGTATTTAAAAGAGCCGAGACAACAATGTTTCTGAAGAAAGAGAACTTACTTTTCCATACGCTGTGGTAACACCAAAAGTCACTGGGAGCGAGGACGCCAAAGATGTCGCCTCACGGAACAGGGATTAACCATTTGCAGCCGATGGAGAATCGTATACCGTTGGCCTAACTCAATCAGGGGACTAATTCAATCAAAGGCACAGTGGGCGTCTTGACACGGGGGGCATCTGTCACGCTGACTTCTCGCCGCATCTCGCACTGACATTTGGCCGCAAAATCCAGCTTGACAGAGTCCCTCAAATAGCCCGCGGTCCGTCGGACAAATGCACACGTGAAACCGGCGCACTTGTGCGCCGCTGAATTCACAAGATCGCGCTTACTTTTCCCATTTTGTCGACGTTCGCAGACGTGTGCGGCTGACACAGTGCGAGCTTCCTTTGCGCCGCTGCTCCGGGCCTGCGCATCATCACTCTTCATTTAGAGATGGAATCACAGTTCTCAGCTCAACATTGCTTGAACACTCACTTCACTACAAATGGGACGTGGTCGTTTGAAAACCAGAATCTTGAGGTCCGGTTGCGACAAATTCCATCTTTCTGACCTCCAAACCCACACGGGCCTGTTGGTGGCAGGTTGCACTTGTGTGACCTCTCACGCAGTACACGAATCACCACAAGAAGCGGAATTATCTTGATCAGAAGCAACGTATTTGGTCCCTGCATACAAGCTGACTCAGCACATTTGAAGAAGAGCTGGTAGCATGGTGCAGCAGAGGCCAAAGCCAAAAATGTCCGATTTGAGTTTCATAAAAATGCATCATTTTCCTTTTATTTCAATCATGTAAGGTCATGCTGATGTATATCAGTAGAAGCAACTGAAAAACGCTCCAAACGTTTGCTTTATCGTGGCTCTTGCGTAAAATCTACAGAGAGAACAATACCGCGCGAGATTGCGGAGGCCTGTGACCCCCCCCGACCTTTAACGGAGTGTGTATCGTGGCGTAGGTCCTCGCAGTTTAATTGTTGTGGGGAAAATAGAAATGTTTGGGTTCAAGTGAGTTTTAGCAACGCAGGCCGGTTGTGCCGGTTGTACTCAACACAAACGCAGAGTTGTTTGGTGTCCTAAACACCATCAAGTGATTTAGATATTTATCTTTTATTCTGGAAAAGAGGGCCTTTTGTAGAACTTTAAAACACATGACACACACACACACACACACACACACACAGTCCATGTAATGAATGTAGGTTCCCTCACCTTGCAGCTCGTGGGTTTTAGGGGTAGTCCCGAGGCAGGATTTCCTTGATGCTGAGTGGTATTAGTCTGCTGGGGTGAGTGGGAATCCTCTGACTCTTTTCCACTTTGGTAGCCCACCCTTTCAGAGATATGAATACTTGAAGCACAGCCCATGCTTCAACCCACTTTAGCCTTTTGCGCAAGTGCTTTACTTTGAGGCTACCCGAGTGTCATTCGCCCTTTCTTTTTTGTTTGTCAAGGTCCGCTCTTCCTCCTGAAGGTTTACTATTTTGATGTATATAAATAGATAGATATGTATCATCTAGGCCACAGTGAAGCCGGTCCTCCAATGGCTCCAACACAAGGCATGAATAATATATCTCCCTATCCCCCACCCCCTGACCAGGAAGCTGATTTCCTCCCTCTCCTTTTTCACATGAAGTTAATTGCAGGTCTTTAATCGAAGCAGCTGTCTTATCCTTGAAAACTTGGGTCCAAGTGGTTCCTCAGATGGGCTGCTCAGATCCCCCTGGGCGACTTGTATCCCTCTCTGCAGCTCCCGTCTTCGTACCACATCACCGTTTTCTCATTTCGACTCAACTTCAGTGTCATCAAGTAGCCCGCGCCTCAGAAGACACCGCACGCAGTCCCCCGCCAGCTTCATGCGATACTTGTATCCATAACGCGCGTCCAGGGTTTTATGCGTAGTCGTCCTCCCCCACCCCGGAGCCATCAAAATTATGCTTTATTTTTATTCTCCCCCCCCCCCGAACACCCCCTTCCCCTCCTCGCTGTCTCTCCCTCCCTCTCTCTCGCTCTCTCTCTCTTAAACAATCTGGTTGGCCACTTCAGCTGGAGACGCGGGCCATAAAGCGGTTCTCACGACCCTTTGCTCCGGTCCTGAGCGGCTCATCATCAACAGGCTGAAATATCCTCACCGCGGGGTGCGATTGTGGCCGGTCGCTCCGATGTCAGGCGCCCTCCCGCAGAACATAATGCCACGATGCAGCCCGGCAGCAGCGCTCCATTTGTCCGACCGAATTCGCCAGTTTTTAGGGAAGCGGAGAAATCTCGGCTGGACGGCTGGCGCAGAATCTCCGGTTAGACATCCGCTGGCCGGCCGAGGATGATCCGCCCGGTAGAAAGAGGTCCAAACCCCGGGCGCAGCGGGCTACGGTGTCAGCGGGCTCCGCGGTGCGCTCTCATTCGGGAGGGGAGAAAGGATGTGGAGGCTGTCATGTTGTAGCCCGATGTGTGGAGGCACTGCCTTCTGGAGAATGCAGTCGCTTGAGAGGCACAGAGAAAAATCAAAAAAAAAAAAAATGAATTAATTAAATAAATAAATTTAAAAAAAAGGACCGCTCCGTGTCCACAAGTTTCGTCGCGTGTGAAATCGGGGACGGGCGGGCGGGACTGTCCGCGGTGAGCGAGGCGGAGGTGAGGCAGGACTGAAGCTACATAATGCTGATTTTGTGTCTTGTCTTTTCTCTTGCCTTTTTTTTTTTTTTTCTTCTTCTTTTTTTTTTCTGGCGTTTGCCCTTCCAATTCTTCAGCGCTGCTTGACAGCGGCACATCCAATAAAAGCACCCGCAAGGATTGACCTCCAGCCTTTACTGACGTTAATGCAAATGAGCCGCGCGCAGCTAATCGGCGGCGCGCGGGGCGGCGCGCGGGGCGGCGCTGGGTGGTCCTCCGCTCTGCGTGGGAACTTTGAAAGCAGGAAAAGGGAGTCGCTCGGGCGAGCGCGGAGCTGGCTGCAGGTAATAGGTTGCCTCGGCTGGGTGGGTTTTTTGTTGCGGGTTGCACGTATGTAAACCGGGTGGAAGCTGGCGGGGGGGGGTTAGGCTTTCTAAATTCACGGCTGAAGGTGCGCGCGTTGGAACGCCCAGTGGAACGCTTCTTTTTTTTCATGCATAAACCGGTTTAATAAATTACATTAAACCGCACCTGATTGGAGCAAAAAATATAAAACATACAGACATGAATTAAATTAGTTTAAAAAAAAAATCTCATTCGGTCTGCTATGATACAATATGAGTGGAAGCTGATATCAGAAATCGTTTCCTGTTTTTCACCCGGTCCAATGGTCCAATAGTTTTTTGATTGCTTGTTCGTCCGATGCTTTTTAATCGATTAAGTTAATAATTACATTTTCGTCTCTATTTTTGGAGTTCCTCAAAGCAATTGCATTTGTCTGTTTGTTATTCCGAGTGACGTTGTTTTTCTTTTCAGAATCTCCCATTTTACAACCTCCTTTATGTTCACCAGCGGCCTCCGTTACCGTAAATGTATTTATCTTTATTTCACACTTTTAACACAACAAAGAGGATGACACAATACTACAATGTAGCCCCTTTTATTTCCCACCCCATTGCCTTTAGTTTAATCTCGGACCTTTAAAGTGTTGTGTCTGCATCTTGTATGTTGTGGCCAAGTACTGAGAACCTCTTCTCCTGTAGTTCCTGGTACAGTAAAGGTTTCTGGGACCATTTTACCATAACAACACACACACACACGCACACACACACGCATAGGCAAACAAGGTTGCTGTTGCGGCTGGTAATTATGGTAACTTCGTTTGCATTCATTTGTGGTCCTTATCTCTTTTGTTTTGACCAGTTAAAGAGGCCTATGAGACATTTGTTGCTTGTGGGGCTTCAACTGTGTCACGAGATGCTATTTCCTGTTTTAAAACTCACTCTTCATATGTTTCAGTTTTTCAAACAAGCACGAGAACAAAATAGTTTCAAAAATAGAATCCATTCCACCCCTAATAACCTCAGAGACATTTCTAGATCTTTAATCAGAGCCACTTTTCAGGGCTGGTGGATTGAATGTAGGAGCATGAACATGTCACAACTAAATGTTCCTCTTTCCATTTGTTTAAATCAATACACAACATAAACAACAAAAGAAAACGCTTCTTTGGGACCAAGATATGTACTCGATCACAACGTTTGATAGTTGAGAAATAAAGTTGTCATCGTCCTCTAGTGGACAAACCACATCATAGCAACACAGTTTTTTAACACTTCTTTGGCGCTAACGTCGCCCCATAAGGTGGAACTGGCATCACCAAGCATTGTGTCACCTGCCACGTCTCATCTGAAGCCCACGCCGCACACCGAGTGTGCAATGCAGACGCAGCGTGTGTGGTACAGTGTACACGGTGGAATTAAAGGATTACTCACAGTGTAGTACTTTCATAAAGCTGACTTTCAAGAGACTGAGAAGGAAATAAACAGAATCCAAGAGGCAGAGATGCCCTGACTATCGAGTTTTAAGCAATTCACTGCATGAAAATGTGCTTAAGTTTCTATAGACAGCACTGACAGACCACTTTGTCATGTAGGTGTGTTTTATCAGTCACCTGTAGGAAGGTAAACCCATGACGCGGTTGGTTTACTGCAGGTTTTGCGTATACACCGTACGTTCATTTCTGTGTCAGTCGGGTCTTTCAAAATTGTCCTCGTAACATTCCTTTGGAAAATGTTACTGTTTGTCATCAGTAGTTTAAGATTCATAAACCAAACAGTACTGAGTTACATGAACATTTGCATGATATTGTCTTAAGCTTGTAGTATATTTTTATTTTTTACTGTAATAAAAATTGCTTTTTCGAATGGAACAAACGTCTGAATATCTGATATTATACTTTAAATGTTTATATTAATTTTCATCAGGTAAAACCTTTCATTTCCCTCTAACCAGTAGAACACATGATGAATCAGTCCCATAAACTTCAGCAGCATAAGCTTGGATTTGGCAGGTGGAATTTATTTAGTGATTTATTATTCTGACTGGCGAGGATCTTTTGCACGCAGTAAAGAAACAGCTGGATGTAACATTAGCATTTCCCTGCAGCATCTTCCTCTTAACAGACAGATGGAAGAGCGTTTTCTTACTCAACCCCGGCTGAATTTAATCATTTCCGTGTTATTTTGCAGAATTCTGGAGACGCCCGAAAGAAAACTGATGTATTCTCAGCATATAAAGTATGTTTTATTCCGCTGAAGAAGCCTGTTGTCAACGAGTACGAAGCTCAAGTGCTCCATTCACTGAAAGGCCGGTTAATCCTCCTGTTCTACGTCACCTTCCTCGTTCCCTCTGTGCCTGCAACAGGAACTCAAGATGCCTGGAAGGAAAATCTTGCAAGGAGCTGCACAGGAGAATGGCTGATGTTCCCCGCTGCGTCTTTGTTTAGTGACAGAACACCAGGAGCCACACAGTCAATCAAACAAAACTAATGGACAGACAAACCTGAGGTTACAGTCATTACAACCAAGGATACATATAGACAGAGAAATGTGGTTTAAATATTTATTTAATGAGGTAATCATCTTGCGTTTATTGTGAGATGATCACCTCATTAAATAGTGAGCTGGGCCTTTTAAAGGACCTAAAACTCAACAATAAATACACAACATACATTTACAACACAAACTCGGTAGATTATAAAGACTATGAAACAAACATCACATGACTACATGCCTCATCCCTCTTCAAAATGAGGTTCAGTTTGAGTTTGAATCCTCGCCACAGAACCCAGGGCTCCGAGTGGAACCACAAGTTCATCGAGGTGTGTGTGTGTGCATCAATGTGATCTTATGGGCTTCCTGTGCAAAATGTAAATTGTTCGATTGTAGATCATCTAAAGAGGGTGATTACTGTTGGAGTATTTTTGGCGTTTTGTCTGCGTGATTGCAGTTGAATGAGAGTCAACGGCCTCCAATCGCACGATTGCGGTTTGACTCAGGGGGATCGGGGCATTTCGGGGGCGTGGTTTTGCCCTTATTTGCTACGGGTTACAATACCTTCACTAGAAAACTATTTAGTAGGCCAGGAAAAGATGCAGTATGTCAAGAATAGCATCATGTCCTACTGCAACGGGTCACATTTTGTAGCAGGCGAGCCAGGCTTTTCTGGCCATTCTGACCCACAATCCTCTGAAAGAGGATATATGAGCGAGAGGGTCAAAGTTCAAGGTATAATCTTATCACAAAGTTGTAAGTCTCAATTAAATGCATACTGCTGCAGTATGTGCTGAAAGTAAACAGAATGAGGATCTGCTGGGATGTGTGCAGTTTAAACAAGCAGTTTTATCTCCTCAAAGATAATTCTGGCTGACCAAAGCCGTCACTGTATTATCTATATTATCTATCCACAACTTCCCAGAAAGGAAACGTGTTCCTCTTCGGCCACATTTGTTTTAGCAACAGACTTCACCCACATTCTGCCCATCATCATTCCTGGAAAGTGCCACAAAGTCTACTTCCGTGTATGTTCTGATCCACAAGGGGACGCTAAATATGTGGGTTTTCCTTCAGATATATTCACTTTACCGTAATAAAATATCCAGCATTCATTTAAGGAGCGGAAAAATCTCGCTATCTCTCCACACAAGTTTTACATAAATATCTTATAATTATCATATAATTGTTTCATTTGTGTTGGAAATTGTGTCGTGATTCTATTCATCTGCATGTTTAAAAATAATTCCTACTGTCTGTCCGGCGATGTTTAACAACGACAAAGTGTACAAAATTTGAAGGTTTTATTGTGATGACAGTAAACCATTGAATTCTGTCAAATAAAACTAATGTAATGTTTTTTTTACCCAAGATGTCCAGATTTCTGCCTGATACGATTGTGTTTATTGACACAGCGTTCTGTAACTAAAAGTTTGTAACTTTTTAATTTGCCACAAACCTCCTGGATACGACAGCAAAAATAAGTGGAAATTGAGCAGCATAGCTTTTGCCAGTAACTGTTTTATATCACATCTATGAAGTTTTTTGTTTATTTAATAATTTAATATTTCTATCTTATTATATTGTATATATTGTGTATTTTTTTATTCTATTTTCTTCCCTGTGCATGCTGCTATGATACCAAAATTTCCCTTTTGAGGGATCAATAAAGTATCTATCTCATCTATCTATCTATTTTGGGAATGAAGACAGTATCTGCTGTTGTGAAAGAAGATGCTCATTTAAAAGACAAATTGGAAATTCCACAGAGAACATTGTTTTGTTTGTTGATTTACATCAGGAATCTGTGACTTTTACCACAAGACTTCAATTAGAAAGGGTTTGGTTTTGAATTGAGTGAATATAGATGAGAGTCACAGTTAACAGTCAACTGTTTTTACTCTTAAAGGTCACTTTTCTCGTTAAGGTTTGAAAAATCCAGCCTGTGAAAACAATAAAAAATAACGTGCGAGGCGATGCACACATAAAACCCTGCGTTGAAGACCGAGTGCACGGGGCTGGAAAGATGTTTCCAATTAGTCTTGAAGGTTTTTCTCCTTTCTGCCTATTGCGTTTTCTAGTTTATTACCACAACATGGCCATCTTTTAACGCTCCAGCTAAGAAAGCTTTGAACATCTGGATCCTCTCCGGCCGACTGTTCTGGACCCAATTCAGACATAAAGTCACACATAGTCAAGACAACACGAGAAGATGGCGGCTGCTTTCCCACTGGCGTTTCATTCCCACAGACCGCTCTCCCCTCGGAGAAGCTGTTGAGGCATCCGCAGTATTACGTGATTAGGCAGCTGTACAAACAAGTAATCCATCTGCAGAAGTCTACATGTTACAGAGAAGCAGGCGGGGGAAAAGAAAGATGACTGAACAGCTGTGAAGGGAAGCCACGTGGCCTCTGGTGAACCTGTCGCTGACCCGCAGTCGCCTTCAAGCCAGAGGGGGATTCTGGACGCCTCGTATCGGCGCAGGAGGCAGCCGCAGGATGGTCTCAGGCCACAGCTGCACCATCTGACCCGGGCCACATTGTGACAAAAGGTGAAGCGGTTAAAGAGGCAGCGTGCTGGTGTGCAGACTCCACGCATAGCCGGGACGTGTGCATGAGACCAAATATATATATATATATATATATATATATATATATATATATATATATATATATATATATATTTGGTCTCATTGTTCTGAATCTACAAGGTGTTTATACTTTGCAGGAAGCTACAGGATGTGAGCCACGGGGGCGACAGCAAGATGTACATAAGAATATGTAATAAGTGTTGAGACAGAACTCAAACTACAGCTATCTATCGAGATGGGGACATTGTGGAGTTTGAGAGGGAGTAAACGAAGGTGTTTACTTCTCACGTGAAGTCGCAGAAGCATTTGGAAGGTTGAGAAACTGTTGAGAGGTTGAGTTGGCTGATTTTTTTAGGATCTGGATCAGAATAATGAACATTCTTGTGTATGTTCTTTGCCTCTTTGGTGCAAATTGAATCTTTTTAATAATATCCATTGGTACATTTTGAGATTAAGAATAGTTCATTCATAAATAGTTCTCATGTAGTGTATTCTCCTGTGAACTGCACATGATTCAGGCCAAATGAACCAAATGAACCAAGGATCAAGTGGAATGTTTAATGTTTAATAGAGGAAATTAATCTGGTCGGAGGTGCGCTCCTCACCGTATGAGACCGTACAGTAAATACATGAAGTACTTTATCACAACCACATGCACATTCAAACAATACTTTGATACACAGATCTTCACACTTGTCATTGGTCATTTACTGGTCCCTTCATTGGGTGTTCATTACGCCTTTAAAATACATTTATTTGGTATTAAAATAATTGTTTTTTACTTTCCTCGCTTACCTGAAAATGGCACCTCTGCCTTCAAGTCATCCGTTTGATAGAATCCATCTGAAGACTCTGCCTTCTTCAACAAAAGTAATGAATAAATGAATCAGTCAACTTTTTAATCTTTAACGTACAGTCACCCTTTCTATTATTATTTGCAGTGCACTTGTTTACATAATGATCTACTGTATATGATGCAATATTTCTCCCGCTGACGTAGCAGCCTGGCCAATGTTCACAGACCTAAAGGTGGAACAGTGAATGCAAACTGTATCAAGTGAACAGATCCTTTGTGACTCTTACTGACCTATTCTGCTAAATATGCGCTACAAGAGTATCTGCCACCACTTTAATTACCCATATGAGGAGGTTTTCCCATTTTATGATACTTTATTATTCAACTCAACTACATTTCTCATGAAAATATTCTTATATTTACATTGCATTTATTTGATTACTTAAATTACAAGTTATGTTTCAGATGAAATGTGTCAAAAATATAAAAGCATCCATCCATCTGCTTAACAGAATGTGAAGCAGTCAAATAATGAATGAATGAAATAAGTCACTCTGTGTAATGAGTACTTTTCCTTTTGATACTTGAAGTGCATAGATGCTGATAATACTCCTTTAGTTTTATTCAGGTGAAACTTTTGACTGCGGAACTTTTACTTGTGATGATATCACTTTAGCTTGGAGTGTTTATACTTTTCATTAAGTAAAATATTTTCACCCATTTGTGATCCGCGTCAATACATTTTCACTTAACAAACACTAAGGTGTTGCATATAACAAATAGTGATATTTAAAAAAAAACACATACAACTATATTTAATTACATTTAATAATGTTGCATCGTACAAAACGTCCCTTGCTTTAGACTTCAACATCCCATAACCAACACATCGAAGGAATCACAAAGCATCTTCACAAAAAACACGTTTCATTCTTTAGGCATTTTTGCTTTGCAGACAGAAGCAGCCAATGAGTTACATACTACTAGCATCAAGTATAACTGGCATTTGCAATAGAAGAAAAGGAAAAAAGTACACAATATCTGAGATGGACCGCAAACTTTAGTAAATATATAATCCAATCAAGAGTATGAAAAATATAAATATAACTTTGTCTGTGAAATCAATTAAAATCTATACAAAACAATATACTAGAGATAATACATTTATATTGTTTAATCACCTACTTAATTTTTTTTTTACATTTGTTTAAATAAGATTAAAAACTTTGGAAAAAGATGGTGTCTGGCGTTTCCATGAGGAGGAGGTAGCTTCTTTTCTCCTTGTTTGGTGACTTTCGCATAGCAAATAGCCGAGCCAGAAGTGCAGTTGTTATTGAGATAACTGATTGAAGTAAAGTAACTTGTTGCTGTTGAGCACGTGTGCATGCATGTAGATATATGTGGATAAATCAGTACAAAGCTGCTTGCAAAGGCAGCGTGCCGCACGTACAGCAGTGTTAAAATAATTCATTCAAGTTCATTTAGGGCATTATGACACATCTCCCATAATGAACTTCATAATAAGAAATGTTGTCCTAGTGTTATTTGTTATTTGGTTCTAGGCAAGTTTAAACAGTATACCTCTTTGACATTGAGCTGCAGTGCGTTGACACCTAAAGAAGCAAATTTCAACTACCTTTCCCCAAAAATTTGCAGGAAGTAGGCCTCTGATTAATGTGTACATACAAAATTTACTGACAATAAAGATTCATTAATTATAGTAGATGCAAGATTCCAAATTGTCGCTTTAATCTTCAAAGCTCAATAAAAACTGCCTCTTTCTGACGCGGCTAGTAGAAGTAGGACTGCAGGGTACCGCGGCGGCGGACATCGGTTGTCCAGCAGTGGAAGCCACCACCCAAGGAGTTTGCATGGCGAATATTCACCTTTATGGTCTTGATACCTGCAACAAAAACACATCCATTCCTCAAATACTGAGTATTTTCATTCAGATCATTTGGAAAATCCGATCATCTGTCTTAAATGCTGTAGAAGTAAAATAAATTTAGGAACTCACCGAGGCTCTCAAACATTTTTTGAATTGTGCTCTCGTTGGCGTCAACCATAACGCGCTTCTCACCCAACATCAGCACATTCATGGACAGCCATTTGGAGGACATCCACAGAGGGTGGTCTACAAAGAAAAGGGAATATATTTTTTCAGGAATAAGTTAAAACAGTTTCCTTATGTTAGAGTTTTAGTACACACCATCGGGAATAAGAGGTGTCGGAGGTTTCACAATAGTCCAACCAGCCTTTTGGAACATGTCGATCTGAGGAAGAAGGCAAAGATTAGAAGTGATTGTGGAGCGAGTTAAAGCCTCCGTCCACAGGAGGGCATCACAGGACACTGTGAGGATTGAGAGGCAGCCGGTTCTTGTCCTGCGGTACCTGGCGACATGGACGATCAGGGTTTGACAGCACCAGTCCGGGCCCGATGATGTTGAAAGTAGCATCGATGTGCATGGGGTTCGGGTCCTTGAATGAGATTATGTGGATGTTGTAGTCTGGAGCCAGATGACGCCGCATCCACTCAATTCCCATGTAATTTGTAACCTGCGAGAACAAAAAAAGTGGTTGAGTTGTGTCTTCTTAAACTTGTGCTGACTTGTATCAGTTACTGTGCACGCGGCGCTTTCATTGGTGTTCCAGCCTCCACACCTGACTCCTCTGGACGAAAAGGTCCCTCCCAGCTCGGATGAAGTCGGCAGCATCGAAGCAGGGTTCGTGCTCCGTGGTCACAAACTTCCCCTCGGCGGCCAGCTTGTGTCTGTCCTCCACTGTGCGGATGGGGTAGTCCTGAAACACCCACCACGCAGTAATGATTGACACTAAATTGATCAGGGTGTGACCCGCAGAGCTCTGTGGTGATATGGTGAACCCAAACAGTGCAGCTTTATCTTTATGTACGAGTGCAAAACGTTATACGTGGAAAACATTAGTCCTTCCTATACAGTCCACTCTTCAAAGCGTTCAACATGCGCTGTCCTAATCTCACTAGATAAGGCCGCACCTGATCATACAGCTCATCGGACATAGTCGGCTTGGGAGCAGTGGTCCATTTAGCACCGTTTTTGAAGTATTCCTTGATCAAAGGTCTGTAGGCTCTGTACTCAAAGAAGCGAGCCCTCCAGGCCATGGGAGCCTCGATAATCTCGTTCCCCACAACCAGGAGGATGTCTCTGGGCATGGCAGCATACATGCCTGCAACACATCCAGCAATACACCATCAGCATGCATCAAATATCCCATAGCAAACACAATTTGAGCACTTTTATAACAAAGAAGAAGAAGTCACCAGCAGGTTAAAGAAGTATTCTGAAAATACTTGAGTAGGCTACAAGTAAAATTATTATCAGATAAATGTAATCAAAAGAAGTACTCTTCTATAGAAAAGGGCCTAGTTAAAGTTATATAGTTATATTATTAGACAATTAGTATTGTACTTTAATGTTGGTTGAGGAGGTCATCTTATAGTTTTACGTGGTTAATTTGATGAAAATACAAAATTAATGAACCAATTTTATATTTTGTATACTAATCTCAGTGATTAGTAACTGTATTTGTGAAAACTGGACTGGAGTAAAGAGGACAATATTTTCCTCTTTACTGTGGTGGAGTAGAAGAACACGTTGCAGTAAATGGAAAGTAAATACAACTGATTGAAATGTAATTTGTTTAGCAGCCGCATGTGTCGCTGTGTTCCAACTTGACCACCTATCGATTGTAAACGAGCCGCTTTGTGTCTCCTGCAGCACCGTGTGTCAATGCGGCCCTTCATGGGACCCTGAGGGCCACAAGAAAAATGCAGCTGAAACATGATTTAAGCAACACCAGCCGGATTCTGCCCCACAAATATGGAACAACACCAGACATCTGAAACGTCCCGAGGAGCCACACGTACACAACCGCAGCCCAGATCTAGCGGGCCACCAGCCAAATATGGATCAGGAACCATGATTTCTATGGTATTTTATATATACGTCTATCCTATTTTTCCATATGAACTCGTTCTGACTAACTCAAGCTGTCAGATAAATACAGTGGAGGAAAGTAGTAGTTTTAGTTTCTATCAACAGTATTTTTGCCCGGTGCTTCATAATTGTACTACTACTTGTTTTTACATGGATTACTGCCTTTGAGCGGTTAACTCCTTTACACGCACATTTTGGACAATTTTTCCAAACATTTCATTACACATTAATATGTGTAATGGAACAAAATGCAAAAGGCTACTGATTGAGGGATACTTCTGATTTGTCTTGTTCTTTACCTGATGATGAAAAGTCTGGGGTTTTGTATTCCTCGGACCAGCTCATGGGCTCCGGCCTCCTCACAGTGACGCCCTCGTGTTGCAGAATATTGCACATTTCCTCAATCTCAGCAACAGCTTTTTTTAAGTGGTCCGCAGGAAATTGCTGGCCCCCATACTGCTGGTAGAAGGGCCAATACTTTTCATATGTGTTAGCCTGTCGAGAGGGTCACAAATTGACAACAATGGAGTTAATGTCGTGGTCTCACAGCGCACAGTTCAGAGGTGAGCATTGTGTGGTTATCTGGTGCACAGTCGTCCTCTTGACATCAGCCCTTACTTTCACTTCCACGGTGAAGGGAGGGACACAGGCGTTTTCGGCACGACCCACGATCACCTCCTCGAGAGGGTCCCATTCGTTGTAGCTACACACAGGACACTCCTGCTGGACAGGCTCAGTAACATGTTCAACAGCGTGGTGCGGCTGTGCAGCTGCTGCACTGGAAGTGCTCTGGAAGGCCCCACGCACCCATCCGGTCACCGCCCGGCCGAGCTGAGTAGGGGAGGGGAACAAAATGAAGCACAAGTTGGGATTTTTTTATGTTCTGCTGCAGAAAACAGCCCCCCAGTTTGGGGAAGTTACACTAGGAAGACTTTCAAATAGATTAATACAATCTGTATATTAGTTAGAAAGAAAATTAGTTGTGCCTGTTATTGACGTTGACTTGATTATTATTTAATGTTAGTTGCAGATATTGAGAGGAATTAGAATTGAATGACGTGGATGGCACCTCATACGCACAGAGGTCAATTCAAACACAGTAAAACCGTAAAGGCTGAGAGGTAAAACAGATATCTGCTTCTGAGAGGCTGACTTGTTTGGTGCTAAAGTTCACGTGTTGTTAGCGAGCCAGAGAGTCATCTGCTGACTCAGGATCAGCTCCAGTGTCACTGAGTCTGGGAGCGCATCTGTGGCAAACAGCTGTTCACTGTCACTCAATACCCCCCCAAAAAAATCCTCTCTCAGCAGTTCGAAACAAATCCATGCTTTCAGTAAGTTCTGAGTTGAGTGTTTCTTCCACGAATTGTATTTTGCAACCACAATGCACAATCACACGCCCACAAAATGTAATGAATAAAACTGATTCCAAGTAAACAAACAGCTCGGATAGTGAAGAAAATGTTGAACGTATTTTCTTTTATTCACTCTTACTGGTGATATGTGCTGTTTTAACCCAATTTTTTTTTTCTTCTTTTAAATCGTACACTTTAGGAAAGAAAAAAACAGAAGAAGATATGAAACCACCACAATACCAACCATGGCTCCGATCAGATGGGCGGCCTCGGCCCCCCTGCTACCTCCTCTCAGACACCTGACTCGCAGCATTGTCCAACACTATAGTGAACGCCTCAGTGGAATCAAACGGCAGCGCAGGATCCACCTCCAAGTTTGCTCATGAATGAAGACGCCTCAGCCCAAAGCCAACTTTATAGTGCCGGGTCTACGTGCCTCTTAGACTATTGGTCACTGGTCGGGGGGGTGCGGTGAGGAGGGGGGGGTGCATTTCTGAAACACGATCCCCGACGCCAGCAAATTCTTATCAACTGGCCTCCAAGGCGCAAAAAAGGTTTCCTAGGACCGTACCTCTGAAAAATGATTTTCATTGTGCCAAACAATTTTGAAATCCTTCTAAATTGCGACTCAGGAAATGTTATTTCTGCTGAATAAATTATGAAAGGAACAGTAAAGAAATGCAAAATGAAATGAAAAGGCTACACTGCAGAAAAAGGTTGTACATGTAAATTTAGCCTTTTCAGGCTATTCAGTATTTCATTAAAGTATACATTTGCTAAATTATGTCTAAGAGTAATATATATTCTTATTCATTTCCTGAGTGAACCCAAAAAAGGTCCCTGGTAAAATGCATTAAGAAGACGGGCTCATTCAATACATCTCCTAAGTAACCTCTGAAGTGGTTCTTCATTGGACTCTTTTGACTCCAACGTGGTGTAATAACGTTACACGTATAAAACGATCACATTGCTCTGGCACATGGCATCCAGGAGACTGGGAGTCAAAGCCCAACGAAGGGTGGGAAAGGAGTTGATGGCCTGATCAAAGAAACAGATGGGGCCGGGTCACCACATGCTCTGCTGGACTGTGCTCACAAGAGTTTCACAACCCAAGGACCTCAATGACCGCTGATATCCCGCCCTCTCATAAAAAAAACCTGAAATCTCTGGCTGATGCTCGGGGTTTGTGGATTATGCACCCAGGACGCCTTCAGCTCCGTACCATCAATTGCTTGTCCAACGGTCACAAAGATAACTGTGTGAGTCTAACTTATATTCAAAGAGCATCCAATAATGCAGATAAGTGCACAACTGATATGAGTTCAGGATGTTGCCTACAATAAATAGCCAGACACATTAGCCTCCATTTAACTGCACCTTTATGTTTTGAAGTTGTTACACAAACAATATAAATTGTATTTTGAAAGTTGTTGTGCGATTGATAAAGGTGCCGGTAGGCAGATGTTTGTACCTTTGAACAGCTGCTGATTCCCTCTTTTCAAATATGTTTCTATGGACACAAAATGCGCCTGAAGATTAAACTTCATATTGTGTGTGTGTGTGTGTGTGTGTGTGTGTGTGTGTGTGTGTGTTTGTTTGTCTGTCTTAATGTCTGTGTAGGCCTTCATATGCAGATAGAGTCAGTTATCTAAATTGTACCTGTGATCTAAGGAGGTCCCATTTCCATTGCCAGAAATAATGCCATTATGTTTTAGTATCTACTCAAGTACTGCATTCAAGTACATTTCCATGTTAGGACACTCCTACTCCACCACAAGTCACAGGCAAAAATACTATTAATAGAAACTAAAACTACTACTTTCCTCCCAGATGTCTGGTGTTAGTTCCATATTTGTGGGGCAGAATCCGGCTGTTGTTGCTTAAATCACGTTTCAGCTGCATTTTCCTTGTGGCCCTCAGGGGCCCATGAAGGACCGCGTGGACACACGGTGCTGCAGGAGACACAAGCCCCGTTTCAATCAGTTGTATTGCGCATTATTCAAATATTTGCCCTTTCTCGTGAAGTGAACCTCGTTTTATGAAGAAGAAAAAAATGCCCCGCCCCACTTATTGCCACAACACTCCCCATTTTGCAGCCCGGAGCTGCTCTCTTGTTTTCTTCTACTTCTGTGCGCGCGTCCCGTGACTTCTACAGAAGAAAACACAATGCTGGTCTACTTGGTTTCAGCGGTTTTGGCAAGTGTCCTCATCGTACCGATCGCGCTCAGAACTTTGCTCCCGTATCTTTGGATGGATCTTTTGTACTTCGGGGATCTCCTGCGGATCCTAGTGAGCTTCTCGTCGAGGCGCAGGAGGAGACCTCCCTTCTTTGTGTTGGACCGCTTCTTGGAGCAGACCGCCGCGCACCCACACAAGATCTTCGTCGCGTTTGAGGGCGAAAGCCACTCGTACGCGTACACGGATCTCAGGAGCAACAAAACCGCCAACGCGCTGCGGTCTCACCCGGGCTACACACCCGGGGACACCGTGGCGCTGTTCATGGGCAACGAGCCCGCCTTCATGTTCACCTGGCTGGCCCTGGCTAAGTTGGGCTCTCCCGTGGCTCTTCTCAATCACAACATCCGCACCAAGTCTCTGCTGCACTGCTTCGACTGCTGCAAGGCCCAGGTGTTGATCGCAGCTGCCGGTACGCAAGACGCGCAGCGGGTGATGGACGACCTGAAGGGCAGTCGGGCGCTTTATTCAGACGTGTCGCCCGCCTGGGGAATCATATGGGGTTTTGGTTGCATCTGTTTTGGACCTCAGTGGTGCCTTATGGAGTTATGGGGCTGCAACCTGAATTGCAGAACCAAATAAACAGGTTTTAGGTTTGAAACTGTCATGGAATGCTGTGCAGATTTTATTTCAATTAAATTGCAATTTGAGTATTTCCATCTCAGGTGGGCCAAGGGGCTCGTACAGTTGATGTTTAATCAGAGATGGAAAGGGATTTGTCCCGAATGCACCCCACGCGATGTGAGTTCAGCTCATTATTAAACAGCGATGTACTGCATCGTCATTACAATCATCATCATTTGTGCCATATGTGCACCAGCAGGGATCCGTCCGTCCAATAAACAATAAGAGAAACTGATAGTGAATTATTTTAAACCGTAATTATACTTAAATTTTTAAGCCTGTGAAAAATGAAGATGTTTTTTTTAGGTTATAAAGAATTTCACTTGTGGCTTGACAATAGTTTTTCATGGGTCTCAACGTTTGCCTTTGTGGTGCCTAAAAACATCTTTCAAATGAGTCAGTGAAGCAAACCGCGGGTTTTGTTCTCAAAATACCGCATTGTTCTCAAAATACCACATGTCTCCTGAAGTAATCCCCAAAGTTCACTGACTACTATTCTCCATCTTCTCAGCCATGCTATACACATTACAACCTACAAAGCCAAGCCTGCCATAGGTTTCGGCTGGCTTCGATCATAATGGTTTTTGCTCCTGAAGTTTAATTTTTCACGGCCGATAGTGGTCCAATATCTGCATAATAACCTGAAAATTGTTCAATCGGTGGTTCTGGTTCTCCTGCATGTCCATTTCCAGAGCTAGAGGAAGCGGTGAGGGACGTGCTGCCCTCACTGAAGGAGCAGGACGTCACTGTCCTCCTGATGGCCAAACACTGTGACACGGCTGGGATCCAGAGCTTCTCTGACGAAGTGGACGAGGCATCAGACGCTTCGCTCCCTCGCCACCTGAGATCACACATCACATCCAAAAGTCCTGCCGTTTATATTTATACTTCTGGAACAACGGGTACGGTTTGTCTTGCAGTCTTGTGTGATATTCAGCTGCCGCAGCGACGCGTGACGTCTTCTGTTCTCACGGTTTGTGTTATTCGTGTCTTGTATTGCAGGTCTGCCAAAGGCGGCTGTTGTCAATCAGAACCGCCTCTTAACCGCTCTGGCTGTTTTATCTGCTAACGGTGTAACGTCCAATGATGTCATCTACCTAAACCTGCCTCTCTACCACACAGCTGGATTCATTATTGGCTTTATCGGCGCCATTGAGACAGGTGAGACGAGCTAAGACCAGAACGTAAATAAAGTAAGACGTAAGTGACGAATGGATACTCAGTTTATCGTGTTGACATGGAGTTTTTTGTCTCTTTCAGGCTTGAGCAAGAGGTAGAAATCTGCACCAAAAGCTTTGCCACAGTTTAATTTCAGTCCTAAAGTTCACCATGTTAACCGGAAAGGGCCCCAAATGCAAGCCACTGATTTCTTATTTTTAATGCTAGCTGAATGTTAACATAGTAGTGTAAAAGGAGTTGATCCCTGAGCAGGCATAAGGAGATCACTTGTTATTATGCATATTTCAGACCCTCATCGGGTTCACACGCACTCGCCCTTAATATGAGGCTACCGAGCAACAACATCGTGCACCGATTCAAACTTGTTTCATGGCAAAAAGTGATGCCCCTGATCCTCCATCCGCCCGCTGGTCTCTGTGCCGCTGGGAAACCAAATGAAAGGGTCCTTTGTCGCAGCAAACTGTTAATCTGAACAGAGCCGGGTCGACCACAGCCAGATTACCCCACTTTTTAACTGCTTCTTTCTAAATAGGTTAAAGTTCACATCTCTAGCACACGTGTGGGTTAACAGCCTGAGTTACACACGTGGAGGAGATATGCAACACCGCTGCAAAACAATCACATGTTGTGCGGCACATGCTGTTAAAAAACCTACAGTTTAATATTGTTGGCTTGAGCCTTTTGGCAATGTTCAAGCTTAACACGAGTACAGAAAAGAATGATAAAATCATAGTGAAGAAAGTCATGTAAAGTGATTGTAATCTATTGTTTTCACATTTCTATGCTATTTAGCTCATAATCCAATTTTCTTTTTTGTTGTTTTACTGTTGAAGGTTCAACTATCGTTCTGAAGAGGAAGTTCTCTGCCTCTCAGTTTTGGGATGACTGCAGGACATACAGCGTGACGGTTGTGCAGTACATAGGAGAGGTGATGCGGTACCTCTGTAGTACGCCGAAGGTAAATTCATTATTGTTATTCTCGTTTTTTCGAGAATAACATACTGTGTGACTTGACTTGATAGTCACACAGTACGAACAAGATGCAAATAGACGGGCAACGGTGTAATTAAATAAACAGGGATTGACACAAAAACACACATAAAACATCATGATTTAAATATGGTTAAAAATATTTCAACGTTAGTTAAGATTTTCAAAGCATCCATTTTAATTTGACCTTTTCGTTATGTGCCTCTAAATATAAGTGATCCCCGTTGAACCCACTTGGTTTTCTTTGTTGAAAAGCCTCTGCAGCAGTGTCCCGACCATGTGACACTTTAAACACTCATCTGAAACCTAAACCTTTGGCATTCCTGTGGGGCTGGCAGAAGGAAAAGGTCTCCGTCCCTCTTCATTTGGGACAG